TGAAATGGCAGCTGCTCCAGGTCAATTAAGACACCTGGGGCCAATTAAGAATTTTCCAGAAGGCAGGGGGAAGGCTAGGTTGATTGGGACACCTGAAGCCAATCAGGGGCTGGCTGAAACTAGTTAACAGCCTCCCAGTCAGTCAGGTGGGCGCGCATGTCAGGAGCTGTGGGAGGAAGTTGTGCTGTTGGAGAGACTGAGTAGTACACACCATATCAGGCACGAGGAAGGAGGCCCTGAGGTAAGGGTGAAGTGGAGCTTGAGGAAGTGAGGGCTGCTGTGGGGGAAGTAGCCCAGGGAATTGTACATGTCATGTTTCTAAAAGGTCAGCTACCATAGCTGATACTATTAGGGTCCCTGGGCTGGAGCCCGGAGTAGAGGGTGGGCCCGGGCTCCCCCCTGCCACCTTTGCCCCCTGATTAATCACTGAGACTGGGAGACAACAGAGACGGTGCAAGGAAGGATAACTTCTCCTCACCTCCCTCGCTGGCTTATGATGAAAATGGCTCAGTAGACTGTGACCCTTGTCTCTAGAGAGAGAAGGGTTATGTGCAGGGTCACGGTGAGCCTCTGAGGCTAGCGAAATCTTCCAGAAAATGCGGGACCCATGGAGGCAAGGACAGAGTTTTGTCACAGTGCCCAGGACAGCCAAGTTCTCTCACAATTCACTAGGAAAGCATCATAGAACTGTTCATCTTACTGAAGCATAAAGAATCATGGGATATTTCCCCAGGAATCCTAGAAATACATAGGGTGGAATTTAGCACCAATGAGGAGACAATAATTTGTGTGTGGCTTTACAGCATGGCTGCACACACCTGGGCTAACTCTGCAGCTAAGACATACCCTGAGAGTCAATTTTCTCAGTCTGATCCACTCTGCTCAAAGACTTTGCTTGTGAAGGATAGGTTGGAAATGGAGAAATAGTTTGCAAATTCCTCTGCATCAAGGATAATCTTTTCCAGGATTGGCTGAAATAGGTATGCTTAAAGGTAACTTGTAGGGAATTGTTTGAATGAGACATTGATATTCATTAGGAAGAGGCCAAGTTATACTTTGTTCATCTTCACTAGCCAGGAGGGGCATAGATTTGATTCACAAGTGATGGGTTGGGCAAATTGCAGGTATTCCAGGGATCGATCAAGTCTAGTTTAAGGGACCTACATCATACTGGGCATTTGGGAGTAGGTCATGCACTAGTTTATTGTTTCCCTCTCACATTCTATAAAAAGTCATGTCTGATTTTGCCAGTCTTCTTTGCAAAGAAATAGGAGAGCTCATCACACGTGGAGAAGTCTGAGTCTGTGAGAGACTGAAGGCTATGGCATTATTTATGAGGAAAGAGGGTGGGCCAGGAAATGGAGGGTTTCCTATCTGGGACTATGATGGGATCCAAGAGGCTAATGGATAGGGGCCTGAATCAGCTGGAGCCCAGTAGCATTCTCTGGATACCTGAGGGAACCTATTAAATAAGGAAAGGGAAACTATCCAGTTCCTGAATAGTTATGAATTCTTGTTTGCTTTCAAACCCAGATGAACAGAAATTGTTTTCCTCCCTTGCTGGTGTTCTTATCTGCTGAAGGCCACCTCCTATTTAGGTTGATCATGCAGTTCAGTGTCTACAACAGCTCTTTTGGGTTACTTGGTGGTGCTTTTGCAATTGAGAAGGTTTTTTGGGCCTCTGTCAATGTGATATATAACTGATGCTGAGCCTTGTGATGTTATTGTCCATGAAAAGTGAATTCTTTCACCATGTCTCTTCAAATGTTCTGTTTTGTACTTCATTTGGTGGAGTCTGTCCATGAACCATGATGATACATGAAGGCAGAACAAGGGGAGCATGTGATGTGAGCTAGTGCCTCATTGGTTACAGGTAGTCTTTAATTGTAGTGTTTCCTCAAGCAGTCTCTACCTTGAAGTTATAACTGAGAGGATATTCTCCTAGGGTCCTGTGGTATTCCCATGCCCCTCAGGAACCAAAAGAGGACATGGTCTCCCATCATAGTAGCCAGTAAATATTACATTTCACTCCAGAACCCCTCCCCAGGTTATGTATGATAGCTTTTGTAATGAATCCTGAAATTCAACAAATTGATGCTATTTCAGACTAGAGGGGAGTTCCAGAGCCATTGGGCCCTCAAGGCCAATGCCCTACTGTACCCCTTCCATTGTTGTGAGGGGATCAAGCTCAAGCACTTTTACTTTGGCATGGAAAGACAGGCAATGTCTCAGGTAGGCAGATCCCTTTGGCCTTATAAAGAGGAACGTCTCCTAGGAAAGTTGCTGTTGCTGAAAGATTCCTCTCCACTCCCTAAAAAATTGCTATAATTGTGTATTTGTGTTTAATTGGAGGACCACTCTGTACTTTGTGTTGATGCTTCAGATAACTAGGCCTCTTTCCCAAAGAGGTTTTTCTTCTGTATCCCTCCTTCTCCCAAAAGTCTCCTGCTTGTGCAGAAGATTTTGGCAGTTGGCTTGGACAGAAGCCCTTTGTAAGTTTGCTGGGAACAGGAGACTCCAAAGACGACATTTGGTAAGCATCCTGACAGTGTGGTGAACTCCTCTGAGGAGATGGTAGTTTTAATTTGGTGAAGAATGACTGCAGCAGCTTAGCAATATCAGCCATATCTATAAATATTTTCCTCAAGAAATAGGTTACTTCTATGCCTATTTATTATATATATATATATATATATATGGCCTTTAAGTTGCCACATTGGTGTTTTTTGTTGACATTACATTTCTTCATTTGTTTTAATTTTTTTTTTATCTGCACATATCACTTAAGCCATCCATGGGATATGCTCCTAGAGTGACCACTGAAGATAACGGGAGATTGTGGTGTATAGCCACAGACTGTGTTGGGTCCCTGATATATCAGATACAGTGAAATATCTTTGTACCCAATTTTAGACTGTTTAAATAAGCCATAGGTAGGATTTATTAATACTAACAAATGTAACAAGACAGACTTATTAACATTTATGAACAGAAATTAATTTAACATAAAAATATTAATTTAACAAATACTTTTTTTTTAATTAAAATCCTCCCCTTCAGTGATGGAAACTTCAACAAATCAGCATTGTGCTAGGACATGAAAACAGAAAGTGAAACAGCTCCAGGAAATGAGCCTAATCAAACAGATCTAGTTTCCCTGTCCAACACGTGTGAAATGTAAAACTGAAACATCCAGCATAAATAAAGAAAAGTAAATTAGGTCTTTAAAATGGTTAGTGTTGATCATCAAGGATGTAGTAGTAATACAAGTAATTTTTTTTAAATAGACAGTATGATTTACCACAACAAAGTCCTCTATATCTATTAAATATACTAATAAAAGACCCACACAGATGAATGGAGGTTATATTGTGATTTAATCTGTTGGATTCCTAAATTTTAAACTAGCCAAAAGGCAAAGCAAATTCATATTCTACAACTATACCTGGTCTTCAGGAACACAAATTTCTCAGGACTGGCATCTATTGCATTGATGAATGTTCCAGTTTCTCAATGTCCTCTGCAAATTGCTTCTTGCTTCCGTCTCAAGTTATAACTGTGCTTTTCAGTTTGCTGGAAACTGCATCTCTCGAGGTTAATATTTTTTGGAAGGTGGGAGTGGAGGGAATACTCATTCACTGACAAAGCTTCCTCCCCCACAAACAGGAGTCACTCATTGGATTACCACACTTGATATATCCCTATTTCTCTCTCTCTCTCTCTCTCTCTCTCTCAAATACAGGTAGTAATGGAAGTGAAGGATACAACATGTTACAATAGATTGCACAATAATATAACCAGAAAATCCTTTACTGTTTAAAAAGCAGTACTACCCTGAAAAGTGCTACTGTAAAAATGGCATTGTGTGAGTCCATGTTTGTTATGCCTTAATGGCTCCGTATCAAAGTGCTCAGTTTAAAAGATAAAATGTGTTTTCCCAATTGACAGTGCTGCAAAATCAGTCTGGGAGCCTTTGGGGTGAAAAGATTCCATAGGGCATATTGTTCCAGAACATTCCTTTCTTGAGTCCTGCACTTGAGAACTGGTCAATTTTAGTGATGTTAAACAAGCCAGAATAAAATCCAGCTTGCTCTTATAGCTGTGATTAACTCTGAAGAGTTATAGTAACAAAGTGGTAGGAAAATGTATGGTACTAAGGTGAGCACATGTGACAACACACAGGCTACATATTTCTTCAGTAAGATGATTGTAACTATGTGGCTTGTCCCTTAAGGGATAGAGGCATGGGGACAGCCAACCCTCATTATTGAAGAGACACCTGAGAGAGATCAGGTGATTCTATTATAAGAGCAGCAGGAAGTTATAGTGAGTTCAGGAAATGGCAAAGAATGAGAGAGATTCTAGCAGGGGTGCTTGGAAGTCAGAGCTAGAAATCTGATCTCCACCCAGGTAAGGCTTGGGAACAGTGATTGAATTGGAACCCAGCTCTGGGAAGGTGGGCTGAGGTCTCTGAATCTAAGGGGAGAAAGACATTAAATGGGGGTTGGGCCATGAGGGCCAAATGCTGTAAGGACTAATGAATTGGACTCTAGGAGGGCAATGTTTTAAGTTAACCTTGGACTGGGGAGTGGAGTTTAAAAGCCCCTGAAGAGGAGAAACTGAGGCAGGCTGCCTAAAGTGTGACCCTGGGCCATGAAGAAGTGGTCAGCTCTATGACAACAGGCCTTGTCAGCAGGATCTGTAACATCCCCTCCCTTCCATCAAGAAGGCCAACGGTGCAGCAACAGAGAGCACGATGAAGGAGATACTGCAGTCCCTGGTGTGACTATCTTCTTGAAACTCCTGCAGGATCAGCAGAGGCAGTAAGAAATACTGTGGTTAGCCCAGCAGAATCGGCAGCAGTGACAGGAGGCCCACCACCATCAGCAAGAGTAATGCCCAGGGCTTCTGTGTCCAGTGTAGGAAACCAGGACAAAAAGAGTTTGAATGTCCCAGGTGGTAGCCTGATTCCTGGCTGTGGTCAGGCCAGGAGCGGAGAAATGCTGATGGATGGACCGGAATGCTTTGTGCGTGGAAAGGCTGGGTACTCTTCTATGAAGAAGCAATTAGGGAGATTCCTCCTGAACAAGGGAGGTAATTCTCCAGCCAGAGAGGTCGAGAGCGCAGCAGATCCCAACTCCAAAACCAGTAGAGACAAAGGCCAAGGAGCACTTGAGGCATCAGCACGCCCACAGGCTAAAGGAATGCTAAGGTTTGCTGTGCAAATGTGCAAAGACCAGAGACATGGCATGAATGCAGACAGTCATGAGTAAACTGATTATACAGCATAAAAGTAACCCCCCTTTTATTACACAGTATGACATGAAAATAAGGGGGCATTAACTTCATGTTGTATAATCAGTTTACTCATGTCTGTCTGCATACATTTTAGTTAAGGAATGTCTTTCAGCACAGTAAAGGTTTTCCCCTCCAGTATTAACAGTCAGTTCAGGGTGAACAGACAATATTTCAGAAGCTTCCTTTCTAGCTGTCATGTGCCCACCATTACAATACTCCATTAGCCTGCTCTGAGCCCATTACATTTCCCTACATCTCTTGAGTGTGTTTGCTGTTGGGTAACCAGATGAAATTAAAAAGATAACTTTGAAAGCAAGTTAGTGTAATAGTGAGACTAATGATTGCATTTTCACTCTTTTCTGAACAAATAGTTGTGGGTTTAACTACTAACTGTATCTTTAGAAGAAGCAGATAAACCTTGGGAAACCTCTGAGGAGGCACTTGACTTAGAAACAGCAGTTTGTGTCTGCTTAGCTCATTGAATTAGTAACCATTACAGTAAGGATACCTCTATTCATATATAACACTTGTACAGGAGTGACAGTTACTACACAAGGTGGCTTTAAATTGAAGTGCAGTGACACATATGGCCCACTTCAACTCTAGATATTGGAATACCAGCAGATATTGTATCTAAAAATGAAAGGTCTAATTGAATAATTTCAGGACTGAAATGTGTAGAATGCCATAGTTAGTACATTATACATAACAGCATTTATATAATTAATGACAAACATGTATGCATTTATATTACAATCTTTGTAATTTGCTCACTTCCATAACAAAGGGAGAGTAGAAAAAGTACCAAAAATAAAGTAATTAGACAAAGTGCAAATAAGCCTCAAGAAGGGAAAACTTGAGATGCAGAAAATGATGAAAGAACTTCACCTACAGTGTATTTAAATCACAGACATGGATTAAAAATACTTCTCTGAAAGACACTGCATAAGCTCCTGTCTCCAGGACACTGCACACAGAGGCAGAGTAAAAGAAGACCTCATGACCACCATGTGTTTGCTGCACATTTGCCTTATGCTGCTGTTCTCCATTGAAATCTCTTCTTTGGACTGTAACATGCTTCACTTCCAGCAAAATAAAGTGAACATGGAAAGCTTAGAGCTTCTGAGCAAAATGGGTGGACAATTTCCTCTACAATGCCTAAATGAAAATAGGAACTTCAGGTTCCCCCAGAAAGCTCTCAGGCCTAGAGAGTCCCAGGAGAAGAATGCCAAGGTGGTAATCCAGGAGATCCTCCAGCAGATCTTCAATATCTTCAGCAAAAACCTCACGCAAGCTGCCTGGGACAGGAGTTCTGTAGAGACATTACAAAATGGACTTCACCAGCAAACTGAACAGCTAGAGACATGTTTGTATTCAGAGATGGAGAATGAGAAACTCCTGTTCCCCATGCTGAAACTGAAGAAATACTTCCAAAGAATCAGGGATTTCCTGAAGGAAAAACAATATAGCTTGTGCGCCTGGGAGACCATCCGCTTGGAAATGGGAAGATGTTTTTTTTTTGTTGACCAGCTGATAATAAGGCTTCAAAACTAAGGTAAGGTATAAATATTATCCTCAGAATAATTATTTCAACCCAAAAGGCATGCAGTGGAATTTAATATACAGTTACTCCTCACTTAAAAAAGTTGTCCCAGATAATGTTGTTACGTTGCTGATCAATTAGGGAACATGCTTGTTTAAAGTTGCACAATGCTCCCTTATAACATTGTTTGGCAGCTGCCTGCTTTGTCCAATGCTTGCAGAAAGAGCAGCCTGTTGGAGCTAGCAGGTGGAGGCTTGGAACTAGGGTGGACCAGCAGCCCCCCCATTAGCTCCCTGCTCCCGTAAGTTCCCTGTGTGGCAGCTGCCCAGCAGGCTACCAATTGTGGGCAGTTCAACTGTCCCTCCCCCACTGCCATGTGCGGCTGCTCCTGCCCTCTGCCTTGGAGCTGCTCCCTGGAGCCTCCTTCTTGCTGTGCAGGGGAGGGGTGCTAATGTCAGGGTGTCCCCCACCCCATGCTCCTTTACCCCATCCACAGAGCTGGGACAGAGGGGGACACAAGAGAGAGGGAGTTAGCTGGCAGCAGCTGCTATCTCAACTTGCTGATCTAATTAAAAAGACAATGTACTTAGAGTCGGGTCAGTGTCCTTAAAGGGACAATGTGCATCTCTCTCTCTCTCTCACACACACACAAGGTGTGTGTCTCTGTCTCTCTGCCAGTCTGTCTCTCCTCCCTCCATTCATGCTGCCTTGTAGCATGTGAGGCTACATAAACAACGTGTTAAATTTTGAGGGCTCAACGGACTGCTAGTTCATCATTTAGCAGTAAGACATTCCCTGGGAAATATTCCACCCTCTGACTCCACCATCTCAACCAAGCTTCACAATCATCATTGCTGTGTACAGTATTAAATTGTTTAAAACTTGTAGCGTATGTGTGTACACACACATAATGTCTTTTGTCTGGGAAAAATTTCTCTGCAAACTAACCCCCCCCCATTTACATTAATTATGGGGAACTTGGACTCGCTTAACAACATTTCACTTAAAGTAGCATTTTTCAGGAACATAACTACAACATTAAGTGAGGAGTTACTGTATTTAGGGTTCTCTTCCCATAGAGACCATTGGCTAAACTCTTTGACTTCAATAGTAGCAAGATCAGATGACTACCTTCCTTTACTGTGTAGGTGCTGTAAATTAATACCACTGGATTTGTAATGGTATGTCTATTTTTCTCTTTATAAGATGCCATGTAACAATAGGGTGACAATATCTAGGTGATACATTGTATTTCAGTCCCCTTGATAGCCTCACCTGAGCCCAGCCCACTAATCCATCTCTGCTGGTAATAGTTCAAATATTGCAAACCCCTAACTGCTGCCTTTACATATTTTTAAAAACTTGCCAAAAATGTTTCCTTCCCCTCCACCCTCAAATGTGTACTCTCCCCCCTCACTCCCCCAAAATACACTAGCTTGAAGCCCAAGGCAATAACCTTCAGTTCTGAACAGGTGACCGTTTTAAAGTCAGACATGATACAACCAATCAGAAATAGAAACTCAGTCAAGAGGTGTGGGAGTTTTAGCTTTTGTTTAAGTATCTAGTGATTTTGGTGCCCACCTTGACATTAAAAGGACTCAACTTTCAGAGACTGGGTGCTTGACACTTTCTGGCCAGAACCTTTATACCAGAAAAGGGAGATTCTAAGTTTTCAAATGTGGCACCGAGCATTTGCTTCTAACGCTGAGGGACTAGAATAGATTCTAAGTGTCCCTTTTTCCATTAAAAAGGATGAACTTTCAGTAATCCTTACAGACTTCAAAGTTCATAAGTTTTTCTGTGTGTTCTATACAGCTTTGCCACTCTCAGGAGGCACAAATCCCTTTTCACTTATGTCAAGGTTTCTCCCCCACTCTGAACTCTAGGGTACAGATGTGGGGACCTGCATGAAAAACCTCCTAAGCTTATCTTTACCAGCTTAGGTCAAAACTTCCCCAAGGTACAAAATATTCCACCCGTTGTCCTTGGACTGGCCGCTACCACCACCAAACTAATACTGGTTACTGGGGAAGAGCTGTTTGGACGCGTCCTTCCCCCCAAAATACTTCCCAAAACCTTGCACCCCACTTCCTGGACAAGGTTTGGTAAAAAGCCTCACCAATTTGCCTAGGTGATTACAGACCCAGACCCTTGGATCTTAAGAACAATGAACAATCCTCCCAACACTTGCACTCCCCCTTTCCTGGGAAATGTTGGATAAAAAGCCTCACCAATTTGCATAGGTGACCACCGACCCAAACCCTTGGATCTGAGAACAATGAAAAAGCATTCAGTTTTCTTACAAGAAGACTTTTAATAAAAATAGAAGTAAATAGAAATAAAGAAATCCCCCCTGTAAAATCAGGATGGTAGATATCTTACAGGGTAATTAGATTCAAAACATAGAGAACCCCTCTAGGCAAAACCTTAAGTTACAAAAAAGATACACAGACAGAAATAGTTATTCTATTCAGCACAATTCTTTTCTCAGCCATTTAAAGAAATCATAATCTAACACATACCTAGCTAGATTACTTACTAAAAGTTCTAAGACTCCATTCCTGGTCTATCCCCGGTAAAGACCAGCAAATAGACAGACTATAGACAGACACACAGACCCTTTGTTTCTCTCCCTCCCCCCAACTTTTGAAAGTATCTTGTCTCCTCATTGGTCATTTTGGTCAGGTGCCAGCGAGGTTACCTTTAGCTTCTTAACCCTTTACAGGTGAGAGGAGCTTTCCCCTGGCCAGGAGGGATTTCAAAGGGGTTTACCCTTCCCTTTATATTTATGACAACTTATATTTTTTGTTTATATAATCACACACACATAATATATCCAGGAATATAATTATTTCCTATAGGTTGAAGGTTTAGAGGGAGCATTTTCTCCTCTCCATTCCATCTTCCTCAACTTTGTTGCCCTAAACCAAGGGTGGGAAAACTACGGCCCATGGGTTGGATCCATACCGCAAGCCATTTAAAGCCAGCCCACGAGCTCTTGCTGGGGTGCCGGGTCAGGGGCCACACGACACCTAGGATCCAGAGCCGTGCCATGCCTAGGAGCTGGAGAAGGGATATGCCACTGCTTCCAGGAGCTGCTTGAGGTAAGCGCCGCTCGGAGCCCTGATCCCACCCCTGCTCTCCAAACCTCTCAATCCCAGCCAGAGCCCTCACCTCCTCCCATACCCCAACCCCAATTTTGTGAGCATTCATGGCCCGCCATACAATTTATATTTCCCAATGTGGCCCTCAGGCCAAAAAGTTTGACCACCCCGTCCTAAACAGAAGCGTCATCTTGAGTGAATATTCCATCCCCATATTGCATTATAACTAAATAAGTGACTCCTGTTAGAGAGGGAGTGAGGGGCAGGCTGAAAGGGACAAGCAGAATTTTTCTGTTCATGGCTATTCAGAGCCAATAAATCTTACTTTGCTCTGGTTTGTACACAAGAGCACCTTTAACTTCCAAACTTTCTTGCATTAATCTTAAAATAGATCAGGGTGGGCAAACTTTTTGGCCCAAGGGCCACATCTGGGTATGTAATTGTATGGCAGGCCATGAATGCTCACAAAATTGGGGATTGGGGTGTGGAAAGGGGTGAGGGCTCTCTCTGGGAGTGCAGGCTCTGGGGTGTGGCCAGAAATGAGGAGTTCAGGGTGCGGGATGGGACTCCAATCTGGGGCAGAGGGTTGGGGTGCAGGTGTGTGTGTGTAGGCTCTGGGATGGGACTGCAGATGAGGGTTGAGGGTGTAGGAGAGTGCTCCAGGCTGGGACCAAGGGGTTAGGAGAGCAGGAAGGGGATCAGGGCTGGGTCAGGGGGTTGGAGCATGGGAGGGGTTCAGGGGTGCAGGATCTGGGCGGCGCTTACCTCAAGCAGCTTCTGGAATCAGTGGCATGTCCCCGCTCCGGCTGTACCTCTGCATAGGAGCTGGAGGGGGGACATGCAGCTGCTTTAGGGAGCCACGGCACACACGGAGCAGGGCAAGCCCACAACCCTGCTCTCTGGCAGGAGATTGAGGGCCAGATTAAAACATCAGAAGGGCCGGATGTGGCCTCTGGGCCACAGTTTGCCAACCCCTGAGATAGATGCACATTTCTGAAAACATTTGTTAAAGATCCATTTAGAAACGGACTGTGTGTTTGAACTATTTCCCTCTTCATTCCAGCTTGGAATTATCAGTACTTCAGCTACAGATACAAATTCAACTGAATGAAATATTGTATACCAGAATCTCACATCTCAGTTGCCTCTTCCAAGTGAAAAGTTTCTGCCTTTTGAACGAAGCAACAGACTGAGATAACATGCACTCTACACATGTTCTGTATTCAGGGGTGAAAGTAACTTAAAGGACTTATGGAGTCCTGAACAGGGGGCGTGGCCTTGGCCAGAAGAGGCAAGGCCTTTAAATACCTGGGCCCTTTAAATCAAGATTTGAAGGCCCCAGGGCTCTGGCTACAGCTGGGAGCCCTGGGGACTTTAAATCACCCCCAGAGCTACCAGCTGCAGAGGCAGCTGGGAGCCCCGGGGCTCAGGGTTGATTTAAAGGGCCCCGGGCTCTGGCTGCTGCTACCACAGCGGAGCTCCGGGCTCTTTAAATCACTGCCAGAGCCCTGCCACTGCTACCCCGGGGCTCCAGCGGGGCTCAGGTGGCGCTTTAAAGGGCCCGGGGCTCCAGCCGCTGCAGGGAGCCCCAGGGGTACTTTAAAGGGCCTGAGGCTCCCTGCAGCAGCTGGAGCCCCAAGCCCTTTAAAGCATGGCTGGAGCCCTGCTGCCACTACTCTGGGGCTCTGACAGCAGGGTTCGAGGGGCGCTTTAAAGGGCCCAGGGCTCTGGCCGCTGTGTGGAGCCCGGGGCCCTTTAAAGTGCCAGCCTGGGGAAGCTGGTCTGGTCCAGTGTGGTGTACTGGCTCTTGCTGGTACGCCGGACCGGCTTACTTTCACCTCTGTCTGTATTATCAAATGTCACTTTCATGATATTTTGAAATGCTTTGTTCATTTAAAATTCATGGA